GCCCCTCTCAGAGCAACTCGCGCAGCGATCTCCGACGACCCCTTGCAGCGAGTTCCGGCGACTTTTGTTCGTCCTTCGAGCAGCCCGCGAGCCCGACGACGTGACCACTTCCGAACGTGATTTTCTGACGAGCAGCACCGACGCCACCACAGCGCCACCGCGAGCTCCTCCTTCGGTGACCCTGCTGCACCCTCTCGCAACCGCTGCAGCACCCCCTTTTTCGCGGCGAGACGCGAGAATCCGTCGAGCCCCGTTCGTGTTCGTTTCGTTTTTCCGCGTTTTTCCCGAGAACGGTACCTCGTCGTTTTTCCGTCTCGTTTAACTCGTATATGATTTATTTCGTTATGTGTTTATTGTCGTGAAGTGCTCGTTGAACAACACAATATATGTGTGAATTGCTAGATGTGAATATGTGTGATTATGTGTTATTATGATTTTATGTGTTATCGTATGTTCGGGACCTCTTAGATTTTCTAAAGAATCGAACGAGACCTCGAAAGTCGTGTAATTCGGTGGATATTGGAACAATGTCGAGCCCTTGGTCTTATGAAAAGGCCTCGGACGAGAAATTTCATGATATGAATTAATTGATAAGTTGTCGAGCATATATATCGCTGTTTTGGTATTTGAATTTTTAAAAATAGCTCGCTGCTCGAAAAAATTTGAATAGTGTTAAATGCATAATAATTTCGTGATTTTTAGAAGTCTGTAGCTATTTTTAATAATTATAATGTAATCTGATCAGAATAGTGTTAAATGCATAATAAATTCATTCATGAATCAAATGAGCTGAAATTCGAATATGTCATGCCTCTGTGACTTTTATATGTTGTGTTAAATTTTTAGAATTTTTGGACTTGATTTGATGTGTTTAATAATTTATTTATCGAATCTGCTGAGCGTTGTTTGAATTTTTATAAATTGGTTATTTCATGAAAAATTCTGAAATTTTACTGAGATGCCTATTTTATGTGTTGAATCATGTTTTTAAAAGATGGAAATTTTTGGAGTCCATTTTGATTCGGTTTTAATTTAAATTCAATAAACTGCTGATGCTCGTATGAATTTTTAAAAATAGTAGCAGTCAACATTCAAGGCTGAGATTTTTATACATGGACTTTAGCATGCTGTATGTTGTTGTGTTAAATTTACAAGTTCTGATTCGTTCATTAAGTTCAAGTATGAATTGATGTTCCCATTTTGTTGATATCTTGTTCGAATTTTATAAAATAGTGTATTTCGAGTTTGAAGTTGAAACTTTGTGGTTTTACATGTTTCTGGGAGATGTAATTTTGTGTAAATTTTCAGAGCCTAAGTCGTAGGGTAGCTTGACCATCTATTTTTTTCATGCGATTAATTATTTCTATTTTCGAAACATGATTTTTATATGAAATTGGGAATCGACTTGCTATTCGTTTTGATGTGAGTTTGACTTGGTCAATCCTTGGATGGATTTATGTGAACTCCCTTGTGTGGTTTCGTCGAGTTTAGTGCCGGGTCTTAGTGTTCCAACATCCACAGGACTTCACGAACTACTTAGTTCGAAACAAGTTCGACTAGGCCTATCTTGTGATTTCCGATTTAAGTCAAGATAAATATTGATTGTAGGATCTTAACATAATGTAGGTGTCCAGAGGTGTTGACCTTGCCTCATTTTGAGATTTGTGACTGTGAACTGTTGCTGCTATCAGGTGGGTACATTTATGATGTATTCCATATTTATCGCGCTCATTATTTCGTGTAATGTTTTCTTTTGAAAATTATTGTATGCATGAGAACTCTAGTCTAAGTGTCCCGAACGATAGTGCCTTTGACGAATGCATAACAGTGAGAGGTCACCTGCCCGTTGTATCCAAGAGGAGACGCCCTGATCCGTGTGAGTTTCGGGGGAAAAAAACAAAAAAAACATCTCCACTGTCTCCTGGAAAACATCCATGATCCGTGAGTAGTTCGGGGTGGACTCTCATGATCCGTGAGTAGTTCGGGGTGGGGGAAATTTTCCAGTTATGGCCTTGCCGATGTTTGGTCGGAAGGTTGTTGTATGTACATAGGAGGCTTGCGATAGGGCCTGGTAGGGGTTTAGGCTATGAATTCTATGCATACGGATACTGTTACTGTTTACCGTGATACTGCTTTTAAAATAATTATGTGGGATAACTGTGCGATAATGGTGAGCTAGTTGGTTGCTCACCCCCATTATTTTCTTGTTGTCTTCTCTCTTCCTTTGTTCTAGGTTGAGACGAGCTGGAGGCGGTGGCGTAGGACGAGCGAGATGGTGGTCATTATGTGTTGAAAACCTATGCTTCCGTATAAACTTGATATTTATTTATTTGCTATTGCACTTTGGATTATTTGTTACGTCATTTTCGAACTATGTTGAATTTCGTTTGAACCTTGCTTTCATGCTAGTCGTTTGGGAATGGTTTTGAAATTTATGATTCTGATAGCTCGAGCATGTGTAGGTTCTATCGATTGATTAATTTGGTGTTTTTTTTATTTGGTTGTTATGGTTAGTATGTAGCGTCCGTTTCTCGATGAATGTTTTAACTTGGATTTAGAAAAAAAATATACTCTGATTCTTATTAAATTAATTCGGTAAATTCTTTAAAATAAAACGGGGCGTTACACATAGATTGCCCTACTCGTTGGAACTCTACATATAAAATGTTAGTTGAAGCTAGTAAAGTTAAGGATGCATTCCTTATTTTTGCACAAAGAGAGCCATTGTATGATTGTTGTCCTAGTTGAGATGATTGGAAGAAAGTGGCGGACATTGTGGAAATTTTAGGAGTGTTTTATGAGGCAACTCATGTGATATCCGGAACTAATTATCCTACTTCTAATGTTTTTCTTGCGGTAATTTGGAGGGTTAAACATGTCTTGGACGAGAAAGAAAATGATCCCAATGATTTCATCAAAATAATGGTGAACAAGATGAAAGAAAAATTTGATAAATATTGGAGTCATTGCAATCTTTTGATGGTTATTGGAGCAATACTTGATCTGAGGTTTAAAATGAGGCTAGTTGAATTTGCTTTTAGCAGGATATATAATGAGATTGAGGCTCGTGCGAACGTGGTCAAGGTTCGGGATGCATTGTATGATTTGTTTTTTGAGTATGAACGCGATCATTTGCGGACTCGAAAATGTGCTATGCCACCTAGGGATTCATGTCATGCTACTTCAAACTCAATGCCAAATGAGAAGTCGATTCCCTCCGCTTTGTCCATGTACATAGATTATTTGGATACCGTGGAAGAGCTTGCACCTATGAAGCCTGACTTGGACAACTACTTGGAGGAAGGGGTGTATAGATGTCAAGATGGGGATGGGGCCACTACATTTGATGCTTTAGCTTGGTGGAAATCGCAAGAGCTAAAGTACAATATTTTATCCAAGTTGGCTCATGATGTTTTGGCTATTCCTATTAGCATAGTGGCATCAGAGGACACTTTTAGTGCGTGCACCCGAGTGTTAGATCCTTATCGTTCTAACTTATCATCTAATATGGTGGAAGTTCTTATTTGTGGAGCAGATTGGGTTCGCCAACTTCACGGGCTTAATAAATCAAATATGACATATGTAAGCTCTCTTTCTATAAATTTTCATTGTAGTAGATAAATTTCTTTTAATGAATTATGATAATGATTCGTAATAATCGTACTTTTTATTTTTGTAGGAGGAAAAAGAGCAAGTTGATGTCCAGTTGAAAGCATGATGAATGGTTAAGTTGATGTTGGAGTAAAGTTGATGATGAATGTTTTTACTCTTTTTGGTATATATGACAATAATCCCTAATAATTGCATCTTATATTTTTGTAGGAGGAGAAAGAGCAAGTCGATGTCCGGTTGAAAGCATGATGATTGATGAATGGCTAAGTCGATGGTGTTTGAGTGAAGTTGACGTTCAATGTTTTGTTGTAGTAAAATTGGAACAATTGTTATTTTTATTTTTATTTTAATTGTGTTTAAGGAATGTGTTTGAATGAAGGAAAGAACTATGAACTCTATTGTGTTCATGTATTTTTGCTGTTAATATTTTTAGGATGAATTATATTTGTGGTTTTGAAGTTGGTTATTTTATTAATGTATTCATCAAGTAATTATGAATGCTTATTTATGTTTTATTCATGGGCTCAATGTATTTGTTACACTCAAATTCAATTGGAAAAACCTTATCAACAATTTTGTAAATAAAAATATTATTCTGTAAACGAATTTCGAATCGAATCGAATATGTTCGAATAATTTTAACGAATCGGATACGAATCAAAATTTAAGTTCGTTTACGAATCAAATCCGAATTCGAATACTCGAATATTTTTTTGAATTCGAATCGAATAGCATAGTAATCGCTTTGATTCGATTCATTTACAACTCTAGTTATCGCCATGTCAGCATAACATGGCCTACAAAATAACGCATTGGTAAAGACGGTGTCTATATGTATCTAATTTTTCTCTGCCAACAGTTCCCATTGGAGATTCTCTTAGCCTCTTTCATCCACCTCCAATCGTAGAAGCACACACATTTTGTTACCGAAAAAGATAAACAAGGCATTTTTAAAGACAAATGATCTTGTTTCTCTTATAATAACAAATAATTTAATTTTAATATTTTTTTTACTAGAAACAAATGCGTAAGGGAATGCATTAGTAGAATTTGTAAATGCAGGCTATGTTAAAGAAAAATTCATTTAGATTTTTCTAAACCATCATTAATCCTCAGCAAAAAGAGGAAAGTCTTATTCAAGAATTTCTTTGAACCCATTGATGAGAATCCTAGAATAGAGAATAAACTCATAAGATTGGGTAACAATTATTGCAAATTTTAATCGTTGCAAGACGATTTATAATTTTTTCCCTGACAAAGCACATCATCCATCTTATTTGTAAGGACATGTGAAATCAACATTTGTTCTTCTAAGTAAATACGCTTGTTTTTTATTTTGTATCCCTAGTCAGACTCATCTATGTAAAATATTGGGAATACTATCTGACCGGGAGCTCATACAATGCACTAAAACAAAACATCAATACTATAATAGTCGTTTGTAGAGAAGGAATAAATTTTTGGTAATATAGAAGTGTTGAAATAACACTTGATAACTGTCCCCTATTGAATAACTAAGATCACGCTCATAAAAATGTTGGGGATAGAAAGGTAAAAGTGACTTTGTCGTCTATAACTCAAGGATTACCAGTTAGTTACCAGTTGACCAAAGATCGTGTCAGGTACAATACCACTGAATCTTCTTCATCAAACTGTGTAATAATAATATCCATACATTAAATTCTACATACCCAATTCCATCATTTTATATCCATAATAATGTCCATACATTAAATTCTACGTAACAAATCCCATCATTATATCCAAAAATGTCCTAATGTATCCAAGGAAGCAGCATATCACTAGCTGAACTGAATCTGGACAGCATGAAACTGAAATTCAAGTATAGCACGCACGTCATAGGATATGGGCATGAAACTGAAATTTTCTATCGATCCATAGTTACGCAGCTGTTGCTCGAAAACAGACGTCTAACAAGTCAAAATATTTTTTTTTACAAATTAATTTTCAGTTTTCTTTATGGTTAAATTGAACATCAAGTGTTGTATTTGATTTCATCCTAATTTTCATGTTTCTAAACCACAAAAGCAATCATCACTAACATCACATTCAAGCAAAATGACTGCCCATTTTCTGCTCATATTTAGTTCATTATTATCCGTGTTTTCACAACCCACATCGCTTCAAAAACGAAAAAAACAAAAGAATCTCCATAATCTAACTTTTAGCGATAGTACAGCAACTTCCCAAAAAAGATCCTCTATAGTACAAAAACCAACTGCAGAAGAAAATAAAATAAAATCAATCCTCACTCGCCTTTGCACCATCTTGTTTGGCCCCCACCGAAAAGAACTCAGTAATAACCTCCAAAGGCATCCCCTTTGTCTCAGGCACCCTCAAGAAAATGAAAACCCATGAGACAGCACAGACAATAGCGTAAATCCCGAAAACGCCCCCGAGACCAATCGAGCCCAGCATCACAGGGAGCGTGTAAGTAACTATGACGTCACAAATCCAGAAAACCAATGCACAAATGGCAATGCAGATTCCACGGACCTGAGTCGGGAATATTTCCGCACAGAGGATGTTTGGGATTGGGCCGTAACCCATCACGAACGTGCAGAAATAGATCACCACACATAAAGTCGAGATTACAGCGTGGGCCACGCTTCCAAGATTCACGACATTCCCAATCACGAGGATGATGAGAGAGATTATTAGGACGGGTATTGTTGTCAGTAGAAGGGACCTGAAAATCAAGGAGATGTTTTAAGTGCATAAGGAAATAATATGTAGCCTAATCACAAATAGCTTCTTATGGTTGATGGTATGACAAAAATAAACAAGCCCTTCAGATTTGCATTAACTTGTGAGGTTACGCAGTTTTACACGGGAGATCCAACGTCGATGGGGCACTCATAAATTTAGGTGATAGTTGAATTTTTGTAAGTAATTTATTATTTATTCAGATTGAAGCTCAGGAGAACCTATTGAATTAAAACATTGTCATTGGAGAGAAAATATTAAATGTGAAAGGGTATCGGAGCTAGCTCAAATTTCATAACTGCTCTTAAATTTTGAAACTCCTGTATAAATGTAAGCCAAACAAATCCGATGAAAGAACTAAGGCTCCAAATTTCAGCTGGAGAACCCTTTTTTTTTAATTCTTAGTTTATAATTAGAGAATAGCGATGGATTTTTTTGATAGGGAAATTAGATTGACAGAGAAAGATTGTCTAGAAAAATGAATGATGTTTTGTTACCAAAAAATGTAATGTTAAGTGATTAGTGGAAGATAACTTAAGAGTGAGTACTTGAACAATGTCTTTGAATACTTCAATCAACAATTGAATTCCCAAAAAGGTTAAAATGAATCGTCCATTCTTTTTTCCCATCCAATTGCAGCCAAAAATTGCCAAAGCCAAAGAACGTGTAAATGAGATAAATAGATTTGATGATGTGGTTTACCTTCTACCAGCAACATCCATGAACCTCATAGCAACAGCAATACTTGGAAGCATCAGGAAATTAGTCAAAGCACTGATGAGGAATGATGCAGAGTCCGATCCTATGCCGAGGTTAGAGAGAAGAACTCCCACACCCGCTTGCTGTAGAATTTGAGGAGTGTAGTACAATACGCCATTGATACCAGAAAACTGTAAAATACGTGAGACGACTTGAAATGTGAATTGGAAATAAAAATACTTGATAATACACCAGTTACAGTCATCCTACAAAACCTCCTCAATCAGAAATAACAAGGAAAAACACACACTGTGCATTAGCCCAATTAGGGACATGGAGAAGATGACATATCTCAAACTCATCATTTACTTCATACATGACAAAAACTGTCAAGTTTCTAGTCTTGTCAATCAAACAAAATCATGTAATCTCAAGGTGAGTATGGGAGTGTTTGCAATCACTAAATAACTGATTCTGAGGTTTTAGTTCGAAGAAAATCACATGCAGGTGTTTGCAAGGGAGCACCTACTTCTCTCTCATTTGACCTTATATTGAACAGCAAGGAAATGTGCACTCAGATTCTGATTCTTGCTATTGGTTTTACTTTTAAACGCTATTGATGTATATATGGTATCAACTGGAGCACAACTTGTGGGACCATCGTGATCCTGTACATTAGGGATTGTGATTGCTATTCCTTCTTTGACTTTCTTCTAGAGTTGTATACACATTTGTACTTTGTACCCTTACAAGAATGGACACTGAGATTACTTCAAACTACATGGTATCAGAGCCAAGATAGGATTTCTTGGATACCCATTTTTTAATAACACACAGAACACACATATACTTGAGGGATTTTTTTTATTCCCTGATTGTGGACTTCGGTGATCGACCGTCTGTAAAAATTCGGCTGCCGAAAACCACACGCCACCTCTGTCAGCAACGTGCTTGGATTTTCTGCTCCTTCGATTTCGATTTCGATTTCAAGCATTATTTCTACTTTTAGGCATACATAAAACATCATGAGAAAAAATGTCCTACATACTGCTATCTTTGCCAACATTTTCTAATTCATCGTCTTGTCCTGTGACAAAAGGATCTAAATGAGTATTCATTCTGGTGCTTCAGACCATATGACATGACAGGTAACTCCAACATTTTCTCCACCTATCATTCACATATACCCTCTAGTCTAATCACATGTCACTATAGCTGATGGATCCAACCCTTGTGTTCTTGGTAACCATTCTCCTTACACCTTCTATATCACTATACTCTGTATTGCTTTTGCCCAATTTTGCCTCTAATCTACTATCCTTCAGAAAACTCAAAATCGTTAGTCTGATGTTCTTTATCTGAGCACTTGAACCAAAATCTTTAGTTTGCACCTCATAAGAACCTGCGTTCCATTGTCGCTGGACCATCTCTCTCTCTCCAGAGCGAGAAAAGGTTCCATTCACAGTTTCCAAAATGTCTCGTTTAAATATTGTGAGTCAAGTCAGTTTACGATGCATTCTCGTGCTCTGTTAGGACCTGGAATAAACGAGAGTCGTGCCCCCTTTATGCCAGCCCATTTGCTGGTGTGCTTAAAAATCAACTATCATTCAACTTTGTGCAGTGATAATGCTAAAGAAGTTCTGTGGATGGTTTTTAAATTTTATATGCTTCAAAATGAAATTTTGCATGAAACTTCTTGTGCTAACATGCAAAATGCGGCGGTTGAACGAAATAATTGGCACCTGCTTGAGGTTGCTCGAGAACTATTGTTTCATATGAATGTTCCAAAACCTTTTTTTTTGGGCAGGCCTATTTTATCATTAATCACATGCCCTCAGTTGAGTCAGATAATATTATCCCACTATCTGTCCTTTTTTTAAAATTTTAATAAATTTATTTTTCCCATAAGACCCTCAAGGTTTTGGTAGTACATGTTTTGTAAGGGATAATCTCACAAAATTAGATCCTAAGCATGTTTGGATATGAAAATTTTTGGTTTTGTTTGAATTTTTTGGTTTGGTTTGGTTAATTTTGGAAAAAGTGGTATGATTAGTTGTTAGTGGGTATATTAAAATATTATTTAAAATAAAATAATTAAAATTGATTTGATGTAAAAGTATGAGAGAGATTATTGAAGTGATGGTTAGTTAAAATAATGTGAGTGAGTGAATAGTGAATTAAGGTTGATGTGGTTTGTATGAACGATTTATTGATATTATTTAATTATATTATAATATTGATGATAGTGGGGTTGAGTTAAAGTTGAATTAAAAAAAATGGTTGAGTTAAAATGTTGGAATTTTTTTGAAAAATTTCCATAAACAAACATGCTCTAAAGCTGGGGTACTCATGTGAAGAAAGGATATCCGTGTTTTTCTCCTACTCAACCATTAAATTGTGTTTCAAAGATGTCACTTACAATGAATGACATCCATTTTTTCCTACTTCTGGTCACAGAAGAAAGAGAAAGCCGACAAACCCGACAAGGATGTTTTAGTATATTCTTTTCCATTTGCTTAGACTTCTCATTGTGAGCCTTCTGTTACTAGTGTTAACTAACTTTCCATGATTAATTAGCCCCCGGTTACTCAAATTTATACTTGATGCCCATGTCCGACTCTAGAGGTTGCGGCTAATTCAGATTCATATCCTTCCCCTAATGCTTTCATTAAACGATCCTCTGTATCTGACCATCCGGCCACAGTGATGACCACCTTCCTACTCTACTAAAAGTTAAGTGACCTGCACATACCCTATGACGCAGACGTGTTGGCATATCTCGACAAATATGATCGTCTCGTCCGTTAATGTAAGATTATATTTTATTAAGCTTATTATTTGTTTTAATGTAAGATTATTTGTTTTGAAGACTCTCCATCTATTGTTTTGTTATATTCAGTTGATGAAATAAGAATTTGATATCGTGTTTACGTATATGAGAGATTGAGATCTCGTTTTATCCTTCCCACTCGCTTCCCTACATCCCTACATCAGTTGGTATTAACAGTCAGCACGATTTACGATGCGCCGTGACGACAAGATAAATCAAACGACTCCGTACATTAATTGGTATCAACAGTCAGCACGATTCACGATGCCGCCATGATGACAAGATACATCAAACAACCGACGTGACGCAGCCTTCAAATCGACAACCGGTTTTAACAGATCGACGACCGATTTCAATAGATGGACGTGAAACTTCGGTTTGTAGATCTTTCGACGTGATCGAAGATGTGCGTCTCACGCTCGACACCATTGTCCGGGAATTGCAAACGAACTACGATGGGGCTAGGCCAATCGCGGACGAGCCAGAGGCGGACGTGGAGGCCCCGGCAACAGGGACCGCTGCCTCTGGCGAAGATGACAGCGACAACACGTGGTCAGCGGGAAACCCGTACTAGGAGGGTTTCGACCGAGCAGCCCATCGCGAGGAGTTTCGACACCACAATCAGAGGAGGCCCGACGACGATTTCGCACCTGCCTGGAATTGCGAGCAGCAGCGCCTTGGCGCGGGTCTCGACCACCCGTTCCCGAAAAATCGGCGTGCAGCAGAGGGTTTGGGCGAGGGTTCCTAGACTCGCGACGGCCCCTATTTTCTCGAACAGCGGCGCCATGGCGAGGGTTTGGGCGATTTCCGGCGCAAGGGTTTCGGCGACGCTCAGAATAGACTTCCGGCACGCGGGTTTCAACGATTTTCGGCACGATGGTTTGGGTAACAATCACTACCACGAATTTCACCATGCTACTGCAGGCTTCGACAACGACCAGCAGGGGCTGCCACTCATGGGTTGGGAATTTGATGAGCCTCAAGACGTCGCTTACCGCTGTGCAGCTGCTTGCCGTGGCATCCACCAGGATTTCGACCAGCGACGCGTGGGATGGGATCTTGGCGAGGCCTACGGTTTCGACCAGTGACGTGGACGAGCAACTTGGAGGTGTCAGTGACCATCAATGGGAGGGCGCATTTCGCGTTGGCATAACCGAATTATCCAGTGCATCTGTGGGAGATGCGGTGGACTTCCTTGACTGGATGGCCGCCGTTGACGAGCGGTGCTCGTCGCGACACGACTTCGTGGTCGGGCAGCCACGTGTTGGCAACAATTGAAGGGTGTGCGGCATCGTCATGGCAAGCCAACAATCACATCATGGGCTAAGTTCCGTAACTCTCTTGAACGAGAAATCGTCCCGTTTAATTTTTTTCGTACCCTACGATTGCAGAACCTTCGGCAAGGCCAGCACTCGGTTGATGACTACACCAAGGAGTTCTACAAGCTCTTGGCGCGTGTTGATATTCATGAAACTCCATACCAACTTGTTTCGCGTTATGTTGATGGGCTTCGTGTCTATCCAAGAGATGCTGAATTTGTTTACCCGGGCTGCATTTCTGATGCGCACCAGCGAGCATTGTTGATCAAGCAGCAGGCACCGGGCGCTTCATATGCACCGTCTACGAAGGAGCTTACGGGGACTGCGGCTATCGTGTCGTCTGCTGCGATTGTTCAGCTGGGTGTTGGAGGGGCATCTGATGGTCGTATGGTTGGCCCCATGCTAGGGGGCGGCGATCGACAGCCTGGCGCGCCTCGCTGCTTCACCTGCGGCAAACCGGGACATCCTTGCCCAAAGGCGAGAGGGTCACAGGCTTTACTTGTTGAGAAGCCAGAGTCGGCCGATTACGATGGCCCACCCATTTTCAATAGAGTCGGAGGTTCTAGTGGTGCATGTCTCGGGAGACGTAAGTCACGCACTTGTCCTTTGTCGGTCTCTATTGTCGCCCAACACCTCTTCCGATGATGAGGGCCTGCGTCACCATCTTTTTGAATCCACGTGCACTGTTGGCGGCCAAGTGTGCCGTTTTTTGATTGATTTCAGCTCCTGCGAATAACGTAATCTCGAATGAGGCCGTGAAAAAACTTGGGTTGTTGAGTGCGCCGCATCTGAATCCTTACGCTCTTGCTTGGATACAACAGGACACTGTTGTCCCTTTCGAGCGTCGCGTGTTGGTGTCTTTTTCTATCGGATCTAGGTGTGGTGTGACGTGGTGCCTATGGATGCTTGGCGCCGCTTATTAGGGCGTCCTTGGCAGTTTGATCGAGTCGCGTTGCACAATGGTCGCCTTAACACGTATGGGTTTTTATATGAGAGCATCCGCATGGTTTAACATCTGTCGGCCCTTGTTCGGTTCCTTTGTCAACTCGTCACCGACCTTATTCCTTTCTCGCGCCGAGCTGTGAGGAGTTGTTCGGATCATTGGATGATCCATTGTCGACAGACCGTAGGATTGGGCCCTGTGAGATCATCGATTTCAGGATACCTACCTTCTTCGCTTTCCCTCTCACGTGCGCTCGTCGGATGTTTTTCCTGTAACGCATTTGGCCCCTTTGCATGGAGACTATTCCGACACAGACGAGAGTGTTGCGGATTCGATGGCGAATCTCCTCGACCCAGGGGAAAATGATGCAGACGAGAGTGCATTGGCATATCTCGAGAATTATGATAGTCTCGTCCCATTAATTTAAGATTATATTTTATTATGCTTATTATTTGTTTTTAATTTATTTTAACTTAGTGGACAAGTTAAGGAGTAGGATTATGGGAGCTTTAATTAAAGGACTTCTCGTCTATTGTTTTATTTAGTTGTTGGATGAAATAAGAATTTGATATCGTGTTTACGTATTGAGAGATTGAGATCTCGTTTTATCCTTTCTACTCGTACGCTTCCCTATATCACCCTATGGTTTCTATTGTTTTCTACGATCGTTTGTCACCTTCCTTCCTTCTGCTCCTCGTCACTCATCATCGCTCAAAGCCTCAAATAGATTCCATTTTTATACTAAGACCCTTACCAGGCCCATCTGGTTGGTGTGCTTCCATGATTGAGGAGATAAATGCCCTGGGAAATGGACTTTACAAGATTTACCTTGAAATAAAAGGTAATTGGGTTTAAATGGGTGTTCAGGGTTAAAGTAAGTGCAGATACTAAGAAACAAGAAGGAATTATTCTCTATCAGAGGAAATATGTTCTTCACCTTCCTAAGAGGAATTATGTTCTTCACTTTTTTAACAAAACTAGAAAATAGGGGCTAAACCATGTAGCACTCCGATGAATTCCAACTTACATTAAGAAAAAAGCGATAGCTAACCATTACATGACCCTGAGCGATACCGAATACTTGTGGGGTATTATAAAGCCGTAACACTCCTGACAATGCTTTTTCAGTGTCGCTAGTCAGTTCATGTCTTCCCCAACTATTTTTTATTGGGCACTTCTCGATCAGAACTATATAGGGTGCTCCACGACATGGATTGTTTTAAGGTCGACACGATCATTCACGTGTGGAGTGCTAATTGAATCATACTCTGATGCCGATACAGACTATGCAGGTTGTATATACATTCATACAATTAGCGGTCAACTTCTTGTCTGTGGGAGGTAATCTTGTCTCATGGAGATGCAAGCAACAACATGTTTCTCATATTGAAGCAAAATATAGGTCCATGACTGATTCTACATGTGGTATAGTATGAATACACCAATTACTGAAAAGAGGTGTGGTACGAGCCTACTCTTCCTATACAAAACTCTGGTGTGACTAGCAAGCTGTGGTTCAATTCATCTGATGTTACAGACTCCATTGCTATTGAATCCACTGCATTCAAAAGGAGCCCTTCGGGATTTCGAAAGTCTAAATTTTGTAGATAAATAAAGGGTTCGCCTCCGACTGAACATCCATGCTAAACATACCTGACAGCAACGCGCTTCCAATCCTATTGCATCAAATCCCATATTTCATGAACAAATAAAGCATATTGGATTGTCACTTATTAGTGACAAAGTGGAAGAAGGGTTTATCTCTGCAGGATATGTTAAATCAAAAGACAAGCGTGGAGACATATTCATTAAATCCGTGAACGGAATACAAATGAAAAACATTTGTAACAAGCTTGCCTTAATTGATATATATGTCTAGCTTGAGGAGGAGTATTGATGTATATATGCTATAGATTAGAGCACAATTAATGGGATAATTGTGATCTCTTAGATTAAAGGGATTGTGATTGTTATTTCCTTCTTTGACTTTCTCCTAGAGTTGTATATATATATCGTACCCTGGAGAATGAGCTTACTTCGGACTACAACCACAAATAAATTTCTCCACCAAAAGGCAGAAGCTGAAGATCAGTTTTCAGCTTCTATTTGCATACATTACAATTTTAACTCTGGAAGACTCCCGCTAAGTGAGACAGAATCACTTCTCCAAAAAATTCTCCAAAAAGCAGGAATGTTTGCACACTGATAGGAGTAAAGGATCAAATACTTAAAAAGGGAAATTTTTAGGAAATTTATTATATAAACGAAAGAGAGAACAATGACAGAAATGTAAATCTTCCCAGCAAGATAATTTGCCCAATAGTCTAGCTATTAAGATTATTTCTACCCGATGTCTAATTCTCACTTCCTCACTCCCTTTTATAAGATTATTATTATGATTATTTATATAAGGTAATAGGATAATAAATATTAGGTAAGATAACTAATTAATAGCTTTCTATTCTCAAATGCCCAGGATCCCAGGAATCCATCTAAATCCCCTAATTTCAGGCTTTCCATATGCATTGCTGATTTTTATTCCCAAATTTCGTATATTCCTTTCCAGCTTTCCCTTTACTCAACAATCCATCGCTTTTCAACTTTTTTTTTTGGCATCTCTATCACACACTCCCTCTAAAATTATAATTGCAAGTTCACCCCTACGGAGAGATCCCTAAGGTTATGTTTGGTAGACAAATAAGATAGTTTATAGCTTATTTTGTTAGCTTATAAGCTCTCTGTTTTTAACAAGCTCCGTTTGGTAGGACGAGCTTTTTTAAAAAGCTCTAACTTATTTGATAAGCTTCTTTGGGTAGCTTTTCAAATAAGCTCGTTGAAATTTTTATTTCAGCTAGCTTATCAGCTAATTTTACCAAACACTTTTATAATATAAGCTAACTTTTCAGCTATAAGTCATAAGCTATAAGCTCAAAAATTACTAATAAGCTAATAAGCTAGCTTATCAGCTAGTTTTACCAAACATAACCTAAATCATAATTCCGCAACCAATACAATTCACGACAATTAAAAAAAACAACAACAATTCCAAAAAAAAATAAAAAAAATAAAAAAAAAAATCAAACCTGCTGAAGTATTTGAATCCCAATCCCAACAACCAACGCCCGCTTGACCCCCGGCTCGAGCAGCNTCATGCAAGTATACCCTCTTGAAGCCCCCCTCCCCCTCCCTACCCGACCACTTCCACGCCAGCTGCCACCCGCCACCAATCCCAGTTCCCGCAGCCCCTCCTTCCCCTTGCCAAGCCAGGCTACTGTGCCTCCTCACGTGGGCCCCACCTCCGTCCTTCCCCGTCGCCTGTCGGGAAATCAACGGGCTGTGCAGGTTGTCCGGGTTCTCGAGGTCGGACGGGTATCCTTCCCCTTCGTCCCTTCCCATGCTCTCGTTGTCATCGTCATCATCCCAGTCATCGTTTTTTAGAGTAGATGGGTCGGCGTTGCTGAACATGCTTCCGAAATTGGGGAAAAGCATGCTGCCGCGGGTGCTTCCCCCGGCGTCGGGGAGTCGTTCGTGGACGCTGCCGAAAAGGGTGACGAGAGGGTCCATGAGAGGGATGCTGCTCTTATTGGCTACGCTTCCTTGGCGGGAGACGAGGCTCAGGACGCTGCCCTGGGTGGGCCGAGCGACCCATGAAAGCCCGGCCTCGGGACCGTAGAGCTTGATGGGCGGCTCCTCATCCTCTGCTGCTGTGGGAGTTTGGTCGTTTTGCTCATCGGCTGGGCAGATTATGTACTCCTCGATGGATGTGTCGCCGCCGACCGCGAGGCCTTCGACCAGTAGAGCCATTTCGCCTGTGGAAATGTGGGGAAATTAGGAAAATATGATATAATCTGGTAGGAAAGTGAAATTTTAAGTTTAACTTGATTATTATAACATTTCATGATTCTGATTTTGTTGATAACCATTCAATTAAATATAGGCATAATAGAAGCTCAATAATTTGACAACAGAGAGAGATAAAAATAAAAATAAATAAAAGTATCAGTTGTGTCAAGTGTGGCATGTGAGGTTGATGGGGAGGCAACCCCTCGAAAGGAAATTTTGCGCTGATTGTGCCTGACTTCAAAGTTGATGTATACATTGAAATATTATGTTTGACTAAGATTAGTATGTTTCTTTTGAGGATCCCACAGCCGATTAGAATCCGCAAGCATTCAGACTAGTGAGACCAAGATTAAAGAAGGAAAACAAATCAAATATGGATGTGCTTACAAGTAAAAGATATGTTATTAGAAATGCATAAGAACTAGGAATGATTTACTCATTGACATATATACAATTAATATAGCTTGCCCTGTAAAAAATAAACGGTTAAATCTGTCATAAATGATCCTCTTCACACCACCGAAGAGAACAAATTTACCAGAAAAAAATAAGATAGAGTTCATTAGTTCTTAGGCATGATAAGATGTGTGTCGAATTGTAACCATAAATAATCACAGTATTAACAGCACAGGAAGTCCTAGGAAACAACGATCTTGGATCAAGCTCAAGTAAGACAAGCTGTATGAGAAGTAATATTCAAGATTTATAACAATTGCATATGTTATACATTATGCATCAAATGGGTTTGCAATCATATAGAATTTTATGAGGAAACTATGGAAAAGTTAAGAACACTAACCCATCTACTCCCCAACAGCTCAACCGAGAATAAGGAAAAAGACAGATGTCAGAGCCTGGGAGAAGAGGGAAAATGATGAAGGAGTTGGTCAAGTCCTCCTAGTTTCCAAAAGGTTTTAACGCACGAGCACACACACACACACACACACAAAAAGAAGATAAAATCTCCCCTATAGACTCTGTTCAGCACCAAGTTTAGGAGTTTTGCAGTGGAGATAGAAAGAGGAGGAAATTTTTCAGAATAATAGAGTTCTTAATATGCGCCAGATGCAATCTAATAATCAGATTAAACAAATTATGTTTAGCCTACACATGCAAAACATGAAATTACAAGCCCACTTATAATGGCTCAAATCTTGCACAAGACTCAATAAATAACAACACAGTCTGAATGGGACACAAAATATCTTTCAAACTCAATAAATAGACCTAAGAGTCTAAGACTGCAAAACCAAAATAATCGATGGTTAGGGTAAATACACAATTTCATGCTTGGAAAAAACAAAAATGTAGAGAGAGAGAGAGAATATACCAGAAACATCCTCCCGACCCCTTAAGCGCTGCAAAACCCTTTTGGCCTCCAGCATCCTCCCTTTGCTCACCAGCCACCGAGGAGACTCGGGCAAGTAAAATACCATCAGCCCAAAATACAACAGAGAAGGGACCAAAAGGACTCCGAGCATCAACCGCCAGCTAGGCGAGGGCGATAATGACATCCCGAAAATCATGCAGTAAGACAAAAACATGCCGGCTGAGCCTGTGAACTGAGGAAGCGTGTTTAACAAGCCTCGTATCTCAGAAGGTGCTGTCTCGGATATGTAAAGAGGTACTAAAGTGACAGCAAGGCCCACCCCAAAACCGTCCAAAAGCCTTGCCAGAAGTAGAACATACACATTAGGGGACCACAGCATTATTAATCCGCTAATGAAATAAAACATAGATGAGAGGATTAGCATTGGACGTCGGCCAATTAAGTCGGATATTGTTCCCGAGCAAGTAGTAATGGCTGTGGCCCCAATTAGGGACATAGCCACTATGAGGCCCTCGATGGCGGCTCCCAATTCGAGTTCCTTTTTTATGTAAACAACCGCACCTAAATATTTACACATGATGTAGAAAAAAAAAATCACATGAATATACATTGAACCAGAAAGCGGAGCTTTTGACGAGATTTAAAAGGAAATAGTAGACTGCATAATCTGCTGAACATGAACAGATATATCAAGCTTAATTTTCATAATTCCTGCAATGTAAGATATTATACTTTTTCTGGGAGCATGGAAGATTTCAGGTGATTAAATTGACCAGTGATAAGGGAAATGAGATAGTGAAAGACAAAAATTAACCTGCAATGGTCGCATTATCCCATCCCTGCAAGAGGTTGCCAATTGTGGCAGCAATGGCTACCAATGCAGCTCCGTTCACCATTTTTTCGACCGAAGTATCAAACTTCAAACCAGTCTTCCGTACATAACACAAAATTAGAACTTTAGTAACTAATTTAATAAAATAGCAACGAACTAATGTAAATCCACGACATAGACGGTATATGTACTAAAACAAGATCCNAGAAAGAAAGAGAGAACAAAAAAATCAAAATAAGCCAGCAAAAAGGGGTCATCAACATCAGAATCTAGTAAAAATCTGAAAAAGAGGAAAAATCTGAGATCTAAAAAAGTGGAAAGATTTCTAGGTACGTTTTGTGAAAACCAAAAAGTGCAAACCTCAGAAGCCAGAACTGAGAGCAGCAATCTGGAATATAGAGAAAGCAAAAAGGGCTGATCTACTCAAGGACTACTACTTATTGAGATAGAGATAGAGAGAGAAATAATGAGATGTAAGGGTGCACAATACAGCTCAGATATGCATAACACTTTTTCAGTACAGGTCAGGGCCTACGACCATACCTCTCACCACAAACTGATTTATTAGGTTTCCTGAGTGGAATCTGACCTTGCACATAGACAAAACGAATACCTCAAACTGTTTTTATGATAAAAGAGAGTGAAATTTAAACTGTCAGAATCAAAACAAACAAAAACCCAACCAACTCCATGACTCTATTGCTAATAAGGAGCAGCAAGATCTAACTTCACTTAAAGACAACTTTTTTATGCAGGGATTTCTTCCACCAAAGTATTATAAAAGAGAAACCCTTAGAGCTCTGATTAAGAGTACCTGGGAAGTTCGAATCTGAGTAAGAACCAAAATATCTGATGAAAATTGGGTCTTTTCTTTGTCTGGGAGTAAAACTGGAAACTTCAGGACTTTGTTAAAGGAGTTCAATAAAAGACGAGATCTCTTTGAAGGTCGGAAAATAAATGAAGGATTTGTTATTTTTGTTTGTCAGCATTACGCATGAGTGTAAGGTTGGGGTGTCAAACAGAAAACAACAAAGCTAAAAGGTCACCTATACAATTTTAATTGATCCACAAAGAACCAAGTTGACTGTTGTCCTTTGGTAATTAGAATGTCCCCTCATGTGACATGTCTTCGTTTTATTTCTTTTTTTTTCAACTTTTTTTTTTCATGGGCTCATCACTCTCCAAGAACACATACTATAAAAATAAAATAAATAAAATTTTTAATTATTTATTTTGTTTCTTATGAATATTGGGGTTAATGCACCAAACCCCCCCTGTATTATCATTAATTTGCGCGTTTCTCTCCTCTAATTCAAAAATTGCGTCAGTCCCCCTTCTATTAAGGTTTTGCATGCGCGAAACACCCTTAAACCGTCTAAGATGACGGAAGTGCACAGCACGCGCGTGCTGTGCGGCTTTACCTTCGGTTTTTCACCCTAAAGTCGCGGAAGTTACTTTTTTACTCTTAAAATCAGCCATTTAAAAGGTCCACCTTCTTCCCCACCTCACACCCTAATCGTGCAGCTCACAGGTACGCATTCTTCATTTTTTTTATTTTTTTTTTCTTTCGGCCGAATTGCACAACACATTCATTTCACCCTCCAATTTTTTTTACTTCTTCCTCCTTCCTCACTGATGGGCGACGCACAGGAAAAATTTTGTTTTTTTTTTTTTACTTCACGCCTTCTTCATTTTTTTTATTTTATTTTTTCTTTAGGTCGAAAAAATACAACTCATTTGTTTTGTTTTTTACTTCACGCCTTCTTCAGACCAAAAAATACAACACATTTGTTTTTTAAATTTATTTTATAAATATTTTTTTAAATAAATTATACAACAGGTTTTGAAATATTTTTTTATAAATATTTATTTCCATTTTTTTGTTATTTTTTATGTTTTATTTTTTTATTTTTTATTTTTGGCAGGTTGAATATGTCTACTTCCCAAAAATCAAAGATGTCAAAGAATGAGAGTTTGGATCTAAGGTATAAGCACCCTAAGTGTGGTTGCAACACATTTGCTCGCATTCGGGTCGTTGGTCCTACAAAAGAAACTGTTGGCAAACTATTTTGCAATTGTCCGTACAACAAATGTCGTTTCTTTGCTTGGCTTAAACCTGTCTCAGTGAATTGGGTGAAGTCAAATGAAATCCATGAAGATGAAGTTTGTTATGAAGACGATGATGATGAAGTACAGTCAACCGGAGCAAAGCTAACAAATGAAAATGTAGAGGTCGCAATAATGCTGAAGGAGGTGCAGTCAAAGATGGAGAAAATTGAGAAAAAATTTAGCAATGGATTGTTTTTTTTGGTTATTGTAATCCTTTTGGCTGTTATTGTTCTCAAGTAATTTTAGATGATAATTAATGTAATCATTTGGACAATGTATGCCTTTATTATCATCAATGAAATTGCAGTAATTCAATATTCCAGCAACTCCACTCTCACCACATCTATCTCCAACAATGTAACATTCAAAACACTGTTATCACTACAATCAGTAGCCACTAATAGCAAAAATATTATCATTCAAAACATTACTATTAGGGCTGGGCACGGTTCGGATACTCGAGTTTTTTGAGGTATTTGCTAACCGAACCGAACCGAGCAAATATTCGAACTTGCTAACCGAAACTGAACCGAAAATCTCGGTTAACCGAATTTTCGGTTAATCGAAAAAATCCTACTATTCGCGAATTAAGCGAATCGAACCGAACCGAGCAAACCTAACACAAATCTGCTTACTTGTTTGCAAATAATAAACCGAACCAAACCGAACCGAAAACATCATAAATAATTGAACATAATCAGCCAATCATTCATGTTTGCAAATCATAAATCATAATCACAATCATTGGGTGAGTGATTGAGTGTTGATTAGGTATTTACTATTTAGGTTAGTTTAATATATATAATATATAATATATAATATAATATATATTTTATAAATTTTAATATAATATACGGTTCGGTTCGGTTAACCGAACCGAACCGACCAAATACTTCCTTTGAGGTATTTGTAACCGAACCGAGTACCCCGGTTAACCGAAAATTCAGTTCGATTTCGATTCGGATCTACGATTCAGCGGTTCGGTTCGAATTTTTTGCCCAATCCTAATTACTATCAATAGCCACAAATACTGTCAATAGCATTCAAAGCAATAGGGTCATCACCATAAATTATACTTCAATATCCATAAACACCAAAATATTGTCATAACTGTCATCTTCACAAACACAAAGTCTAACCAACATACAAACACCACTGGAATAAAATCACCAACATACAAACATCATCACAAACACAAACACAAACACTAATCAAATAACACACCATGAAATCACCATGAAATCACCAATCACCACCATATTCCCTGTTTTGTTGAGTGAAGGTTTGAGGGCCAGAGCACTGAATAAAATCTTCAAAAGATGGCATGGAAGTCTCAAATGGCTGAGACGACTGAGACGGCTGAGATGGTTGTGGATGTGGCTGAGATGGTTGTGGCTGTGGCTGAGATGGTTGTGGTTGTGGCTGAGATGGTTGTGGTTGTGGCCGAGATGCCTGCCCAAAAAAAAAAGCAAACAAAAACAAAACAAAATCATGTCACAGTGTTTAAAAAACACAAAACAAAATCATTTCACAGTGTTTAAAAAACACAAATATGATTGTTGAAATAACAATATTGGAAGTTGAAAAATTTTAAAAATTGACTGACCTGTTCACCTTCACCTCCGCTTTTAGGGCACCTTCTCTTATTGTGATTGTTTCCACCACATAAAGTGCATCTCTTGATAAGTCCCTTTCTGCTACTGTTTGTTGCCATATGCCTCATGTCATTAGTGTTAGCTCTTCTTTTCTTTGTTGGCCTACCCCTTTTTTTCACAGAATCAGGCGGTTGAATTGGACCCATTCCAGACTCCTCATAATTATTCATCCCTGGAACTGGGAAGATCATATGGCTATACATCCTAATATACATGTCCTTTTTGAAAAAATCAGACACATAATCAGATACACTAACCTATGATAAGAGATGCATGCCAGTGCATGGCAGTAGGGGTAGACAACCACTTGAAACATACCACATGTGCACCTTCTTGCTTCCAATTGGACTATATGGTTGCTTACTCCATGAACCACCTCATACTTGTCTTCTCCAGCCCAAGTAGGGAAACAATTTCTACTGAATTCCCTTTGCTCTTCAATTTTTCTCACTGTATTAGGACAAATGTCCTCTCTGTATTTTTCTATTCCAGCTTTCTTCACCTGGATCCTTACCATCAATCTTCTTCTGATCCACTCAAACATGTCCACAATAGCCATATCCCTGGCTTCCAAAATGTAGTTGTTGAAGGACTCTGAAAGATTATTAACTATCACATCACACACTGCATTAGGAGAAAAGAAACACCTTGCCCAGTGTTCTTCAGGGACAGCCTTCAACCATTCAAATGGAGTTTCCTACAACAAAGTATAAAATCTCATTATATTAATATAAATTGAGACAATGAGATGTTATTTAAAATCTCAAAGTACAAAATACCTACAACAAAGTATTGTTCAAAGCATGAACACAAAACATTGTTCAAAGCATGAACACAAAGTAAAAAATACCTACTGTCCTTTTTAAAATAAAATACCTACACCAAATATACAGCAGGTTATTCAGAACAAAACCATGAAATGAACACACTCTTATATTCAGACCCAAAGGTATTCACATTACACACAGATATGTAATGAGAAAATAACAACAGGTTTTTGTAAGGAGAAAAATACCTTGCCATCCTTCTTAGGAATAAGCTTTTGGATTTGACTCATGCACCTGAGATGCTCCTTGACATTGTATGTGCTGGCTACCTTCCAAAACCATTTCCTCAATTCTAGATCCCCCCACTTCTGCTTAAAATTGTTGTACATGTGCTTCAAGCAATATCTGTGCTCTGCCCCCTCAATTTCACTCACAGCTTCAAGCAAATCCTTTTGTCTATCTGAAACAAAAGTCCATTTTTTCTCCTTGTAAGGGGCTATATCCCTCATTAGCCTTTCAAGGAACCACCTCAAAGAATCAGTCTTCTCAACTTCCACATATGCCATTGCAATTGGTAGCATATTGCCATTTCCATCTCTACCAACTGCTGAAAGAAGTTGACCACCATGAAGAGTCTTCAGAAAGCATCCATCAAGCCCTATAATTGGCCTACAGCCAGTTAAAAATGCCTGCCTCATTGCACTTAGGCAAACATACATCCTCATGAACTTTGGAGGTGAAAAATCATTGTTCAACTTGAGGATAAGAGAGCTACCAGGATTGTACTTGGCCACTGTGGAGCAGTAGTCATATAGCCTCTTATATTGTTCCCCATAGTCAACCTTCAACAAAGAAAGAGCATATATCTTGGCCCTGTATGCCTTGTGCAAACTGACCTCAACCCCACAATGCCTCTTGATTTTGTTTTTCAGACTTGCCAGACTCTCAGCAGGATTGTCCCTCAAAGTATCTAGCATTCTTTTTCCAAGATACTTGTAGTCTGCCTGTGTGTTCTCTGTCCTGTAAGCACATGAGTGTGTGCCTTTCAATGTCTTGATTTGAAATGTGGTCAAACCTCCAATAACTGAGGCCCTCAAGAACCAGTCACACCCACTCTTACATTTTGCTGTGATAAGCTTGGCTTCATTTTTTGGGAACTTTAAATCATATCCCTTTCTAACAGACCAATCTTTAATCACCTCCTTGAATGTTGCTCAGCATTCATATTTTTGACCAACCTTCAGCTCAAACCTTGACATGTCAGTACCATTAATCCATTCATCAGGCTCTTCAAAGCACTTGTCATCATCCTCAGGATCACTGTACCAATCTTCTGTTAGTGTTATATACTGAAAGCTTGACTTTGCATATTATTACACATTTACCCTTTATGAATGAGAATCATGTTAGATTAAACAAGTTCTACGTTCTGTTATTTTGCACTTAGATAGTGTGGGTCGTCATCGGGCGAACCGAAGATCACTCTATCAGTTACTTGCGAACAAGAATAGTTGTTCACAACCTAGATGGACATGAACACCCCATCCGAACGGTTGTAGTGTCAAC